AATTTATATAATATTATTAAAAAAAAGAAATTATATTTAAATATTTACTTACAGTGATCTTTTAGGAGCATTATGATCTTTGATGTGTTTGCGCTTTTTGCCTCTGCCTTTACTTTCTCCTTTTGGTGGTGTATAATTTTGCATCTCTGCATCATATCTTTTTTTATCTTTTTCTGCCATTTCATGAAAACGTTTCTTTTCTTTATCTGACATAGTCTATAAACATATAGTAGATATTTAATTATAAATATATGTTATAAATATAAAAATATTTTCTTTTGATTTCAAAATATATACATAAAATAATTATATTTATAGCAGTATAAATATTGACCTATAAATCTATTCATTCAATATTTTGAAAATTGTAAATATATCATATATGTATGTAATAATGTATAATATCATAATTAACTTTATATATAAAAAACGTTAATAAAATATGACATATATACTAAATTTTTTAAATATGATCTTTTTTTTATTTATATTTATCATACATTATTATTTAAAAAATATTTAATAAAAATTATCAAACAAAATTCTTTTTTCATTATATTATTATAATTATGTATAACATATTATAATCAGATATATTATAATTAAAAAATTATATTATATATTTTTAAATTTTACAATTAATATAATCATTTTAATAAGATAATAAAAGTGTATATCTTTAATTTTGATATATACCATCTGGTCTGTAGTTTAAAAGAAAGAAATACAGAAAGTACTACTCTCTTTTCAAAAGGTAGAATAATTAGATGTTATAAGAGTATCTGTTCAAAATGACTTTTCACATTTGTGGAATTTATGAATAAAAAATACGTTTCTTTTTTTACTATAAAGTTTGCAATATATATCTATATATTATGCGTTTTTATAAATTTTTATCAAAAAAAGTTAATAATCATAATTATTACGAAAAATTATTTTTAAATAAAATAAATCAATTCAAATCAATATATTTTAATATTTTTAATTATTTTTAAATTTTTAAAAAATTTAATAAAAATTAATAATTTTATTATTTGTTTATTATTGAATAATTATTAATGAAAATTTATATTAAATTTTAATGTATTATTATTATTACTATTTTTATTTATAAAAAGAAAAATATCAAACAAAAAATTTGGAAGACTAAAGGACATACATGTGAATAACACACTATTAGCTTTTTGACATAATGTTTGTTATATATAAGAGACAAAATCTAAGAAACAACGAGTTGTAAACCGGTCTTAGTTTTAATCTTAATCATGATAAAATCATAGGTATATGATTAACCGTTAATCCGAATGTTCTTGATCAGATCATGTCAAAACTAGTTTTCTGACCAGAATTTAGGTAAGATTCACATATTCAAGCATGTATTGAACGCAAGTTTTATAATCATAATATTTTATAAAAATTATATTTTAATACTATATATCGATTAAATAAGAATTCTATTTATTAAAATAAACATTCAAGTTCATCATTGCATTTTTATAAAAAAAACTAGCATTTAATTTTATTCTTATATAAAATATTTTTCTTTTCTCTTTCTTTCTCATTAATTAAAATATTTTTCAATAATTGTAAATAATTTCGTTTTTCAAGTTTATAAAATCTTGTATTCGAAATGATTCTGTTAAAAGTTTGTCTTATACTATATGAAAAGATACGGATAAGTTATCTTCAAAGAAATCAACGCATAATAACTCCAGATGAGGTCAGTTAACTGTAAATTACTACTTAAATTAGTTACACTTTTACTCCGGCGAACAACACCAGAAACTATTATTATTTCCTGAAACATGTTTAACAAACTAATTATAATAAAAATTACTTATATTTTAAAAGACTATGCAAAGAATTATCTTATCAGAAATATATTTTTTAATTTAATTGAAATTTTTTAAAATCTTATTTTTTTTGTTTAAGATTATATCTTTACAATCTATAATTTATCATTAATTTTTTTTAACATTATGATTATTTATTTATAATGATAATATATACATTATACATTATAATGTATACATTATAATGATAATGTATATATGTAATGTTATTATAATGATAATGTATGTTAAAAATATTTGAGATTAAAAAAAAAAAAAATTAATAAACAATTAAAAAATAAGTTAAGAATTACTGTGACTAAATTTGATATCTTTAATTAATTAATATTTAATTAATGTAATCAAGTATTCATACTTTAAAAGTTGATAAAAATCAATTAATCGGGTAATTCTTTAATTAAATTAAACAGCAAATTATAAAAAAATATAATATTCCTTACCTTCCACCTCATTGCACACTTTTTAGAAAATTCCCGAAAGACAATCTTTTCCTCGGGGTGTTTCTTTTTATGTTCCTGTCGACACGTTTGTACGAAGAACGCATATGCAGTCATCCGTCCCCTTGGCTTTGAATCTTTTCCTCTCGGCATATTGTCTCGCTGTTGTAAACTCTGAGCGTTATTTTGCTGAAGATTATTTTGCTGCGATAACTGTTGTATCTGGTGCTGTAATGAAATAATCAAAGGATATAATTATTAAAAACTTACAATGTAACAATCAATGTCCCTTGTTTAAAAGATATTTTCTAAAAACAAGAAAAAAAAAAAGGAATAAAAAAAAAGAGGAACATTTACTTATGTTTTATACTGAATGTAAAACGAAAAGATTAAAAAAATTTTTTTTCTTTGTTTTTTTTTCTTTCTTTTGCAAAAATATTAATTCATCATTGTAAAAGTGATATATTAATTCAAAATGTTATATTTTATATTTTATATTTTTAGTTTTATATTTTTCCATAATTTTCTTTCATTTTATTTTTTATTTTATATTTTAATATAATTGTATATATTATAATATAATTTTTAATTATTTTTAACTTCACATATATATACATATATGTATATATATAAATTGTTAAATCCCTAAATAGAGATTAAAAGTCATTTGTAAAATCGTATTTTCGAGGAAATATATTTTTTAAAATATCGAATAATTAGTTCGTACAAAGGCACATCTACATATATGATTTATGTTAGTTTAACCCATTACTACTGTAACGTGCACTATATTGTCAATAATTACTCTATTTCTAATATTTAAATTCTGAAAGATAAAATAATTTATTTCTAGTCAGATTTCTTCCCTGTATATAAAGCATATTGCTTCGTATAGACTAAAATAATACTAGGCGCATAATATATTGCGTGCAGCTACGTTATAATTCTAGAAGCTAGGTGTAGTTAAGATTCTATTCTAAAAAAATAAAATCCTTTCGTATAAGTTTATAATTTATCAAATTGTTCTAGATAAATCTTAGATACAAATTTATTATAAATATTATATTAATAATATACATCTGTTACTTTTTTTTATCAAAAATAACATTTACTACATTTTATATATAGATAGCAAATATTTATCAAAACAATATTTTGTTCAAAGTTAATATTTTAAATTATTCACATATCATATAATTATATGATAAGAATATATTTATTATAGATATGTTTTCAGTAAATAATTAAACAATTATTATCAAACTAAACAGAATAGAAGTATACTATTATTAACAACACTATGTTATTATTTTAAAATTATTTTAAACTGCAATTTTTATAATTCTAAATAAAAAAAAATTTAACATTAAATATAAGAACTTGTAACATTCTCATTTTATATATTTATATAGAATTCCTTAAAAATATATTTGATGTAACATATTTATTGAAAAAAAAATAAAATCTTTTTCTTTTTTAAAATATTTTAAAACTACACAATTTGTACTTATAAATAACTTATAATACTAACAGTAACTTATAAATAATATAATTTTATATAATAAATAATATAAAAAATTTTTCTAAAAAGTGTGTATAAATATATTATCAATAATTATGAAAAATAATTGTGATAAATTACATAAATCTCATTCAAAGTCATACAAAATAAAAATAAATAATTAAAAACAAAAAAAAAATAAATAAATGAAAATAATTTATATATGTACAATTTAATAATATTTTATAATAATATTATTAAATATTTTATTTTATTAATTTTATTTTTATTAATTAACTTTATCACATGATATGAAGATGTACTAAGTCAATAATTGTAACATTAATTGTAATTAAAAAAAGATAATTTATAATTCAGCAGTTAATATATAGTAAATAATAAAGAGAACGTATCATGAAAAAATTTTCGAAACGAATGAAAGAGTATAAAAAAGTTAAAATTTGCGAACATTGTTAATATTCGTAATGAACATTGATGTATAAACTTCATTAAATGAGATCGTGTTTTCGGCATCAACTAAAATTACTTTTAGATTGCATGTTACTATGTATATATTTAACAAACATTTACCCGTACGGTCAAATAGAAATTGATACCTATCCCATCTGTTTAATATTAGAGTTTAGTTCAATCATCGAATCTAATTGATATAAATTATAGAAAAAAATACTTCAGATGATTTGAATATAAAAAGAAATAAACAAAATATATCGAAATATTAAAATTATAATGAAAAAGTTTATTTTCGATATCTTAAAATTTTTTATTCTATATCTTTAAATTTCTATGTCTTTAAAACAGGACATTTTTATTTTTTTTACATACACATTATTATTTATTATTTTATCTATTATCTATTATTTATTTTAAAATCTTTTTTTTATTTTAATTTTAATTTCAATCAATAGTTAAAAGTAATTTATCTTTATGTATTTATTTACATTTCTTTATTTTAATTTCTTAATTTTAATGGTTAAAGAAATTTATGTATAAAATTTTCAATTTTATCTTTTCTATATTCATAAATAAAGAAAATCATATAAAATATCAAATAAAAGAAACCAAAAAAAAACTAAGTAAAATTAATTTTTTTATTTATAAAATACTATTTACTTAATAATTTACTTAATAATAAAAATTCATTTTTAATTTAAATCATTGAAACATTTTTTCAGTTTAAAATTATGTAACTAATTAGCATTTTAAATAATTTTTTATTGTGTAAATTATATCTGCATTAGTCAATCAATAAACTATCAATCAGAATCAATATAATATCTTCGAATCGACGAAATAAGTACTCGAATATATTAAAGAAAAAGAAAAGATCAGAGAATATATATAATTTTCATAAGAATTTTAACAAAAAAATAAAAAAAATTAATTTTAGAAATATTCTAAAAAATTTTGAAGTGCAGTTAATTTTTTTTGGAATTAAAATTAAAATTAACTATTCTAAAAATATCTATGAAATTAAAATATAACATTTATTCGAATAGTTTTATATAAAATAAAATGTTCTATATGTTTAATAATAATAATTCAGCAGCTAATATGTAGTAAATTATTTTTTATTTTATTTTTTAGTGATAATATAACGATATAAAAATTCAGTTAAAGAATAAATTTTCATTTAAAATAAATAAGAAATATGAAAATTAATCACAATTTATCAAATAATATAAATATATAATTTCTCTCATTGATATTAATTTAATTTAATTTAAAATTCAAAAATTTATATTACTTTTTTTATTTTAATTAAAATATATTAATATATGTCCACAGTTAATTTTAATAGAGTATTTTAAAAATAGAAATTTAATCAACTATATTCATAAATAATTTTAAAAATTAGAAATATCTTTTTATCTTTAAATAAATGCTAGTATCGTTTATTATATTGATATACCTTCTATTTAATCACATTCTATTTTACACTTTATACAAAAATTTTTGGTTTTTAAATCAAATTGGAATTCGAACTAAAATTTTTATTATAATTCTTATTATAATTCATATTAAAACATATAATTAATATTTTTTCAAATATTTCATATATAATATAAAATTGAACTATCGGTTATTCTCCAATATCAAAATACATATATATTCAATATAACTTATAAAATGTTAACTCTTGAAATTTCTGCAGAATTCAACGAAATAAATTATAAAAAAATTCTTAGATTATAGATTTAAAAGAAATTTCAAAATTTCTAAAACTCCAATAATATCTATAAAATATATATTTTAACTATATATTTTTTAAATTCTTATCAAAATAAATAATATTTTAATAATTTAATATCTTAATAAAATTAGTATTGTAAGAAATAATATTTCTCAAAAATATTATCCATTTTTTTGAACATATGCATATTTCAATTTTGATTCGAAAAGAAAAATAAAAGAGATTTTCTTTAATAATGATATTTAACATTTTGTTCCGAAGAAAAAATTTATTTCTTCCGTTTATTTCTATATCGCAATAATCTTAAATTTTCGGACAACTTTCTGACTTTCTCTTCGCTTGATAGATACAGACACTTTAATCTTAACTTTCATTCGAGCTCCGCTTTTAATTTTGCTCCAAATACGTTTTCATGCTTCACAATATTGATTACTTTTTATTGGAATATTGAAAAACCTGAAAATTTTTGAAGCAAGATATTCTTAACAATATTTCTTCAATATTAAGATTAATAAAATAATTCGTATAATAAATTTTAATATGGTTTTTCTTCTAGGTTTTATGAATAAAATGTTCAAATAGAACATTGACAATATATTAATATATTGTAAATTTACTTTGAGTATAATAATAAAAATCTGATTCTAATGCATCGCATACATATTTAATAAAACAATATCAATTATTTATTGATATTTTCACAAATTTCAATTTATTATAAGACTATGTTTTCTTTTTATGTGATAACATATATATTGACACTTATCTATTTCTACTCTTGTACAAATAATTCTATGGCTAAAAAGGTGTACACAAAGAAAAATTACGATTCGAAATAATCTAATGTTTTTCTTTTTTTTTGCTTTAGTTTTTAAATAATTTATAAAGTAACTAATCATTAATTTTGCGATTAAAAGATACGCAATATATATATTAAATTGTACTAAACACGCGTATTTTATTTTTGATTAGATTAAAACATAAATATAAAGTGAAAATTATTAAAATTGGTAGAGATAATGATTGAACTAATCATAGAATATCGAGTAAAAATAACTAAAAATGATCGAAAAATTAAAAAAAAAATATATTGTGTACTTACAATAACATTTAAGATAAACAATAATATGTTTTTTATTTTACATAATTATATATTAAAATATTAATTTAAGTAAATAAAACAAGATACGATAAAACTATTTCAAAATTCTAAGATATATACATCCAATTTCAAATTTGTTAAGATTGAAATAAATCTTAAATTGTCAAAGAAGAATTGTGATATCGAATATCCTTCATTTTTTCTTTAAATCTTAAAAATATTTATATAAAAAATATATTTAAATAATTGCAATAAAATTCAATAAAACAGAAATTTAAAAAAAATAATACACATCAAATAAATTTTAACTTCAAAATTATTCAAAAGTAGAATTATTTTTTCTTTTTCTTATATTTTCAAATAAAAAGAAATATAGAAAGGATTTAAAAAAATATATTTTCGTTTATGAAAAATTTAAATTGTTTAATTTTTAATAAAAGAAGTAAATATTCATTTAAAATTCCTTTTTTCTGTTATAAATAAATAAAACGAAATAAATTGAAATATGAACTTTAAATATGAATGTAAAAAATCAATTCGAATAGAAATATATCGAAAATATATAATTCGAAAATACGATTATTCGAAATTATTTGCTTATTAATAACAAATATACGAATAAAAAGAAAATCATAGAAAAAGTTTCGCAATTTGAAAAATAAGATTTTTGAAATTTGGTGTTAATCAAATCAACTAATTAAAAAATGGCATCTCTCATTAAAAAGATATAGTTATGAATTAAAATTTCTTTTCTTTTTAACTATCGATAATAAATATTAATAAAAAAATATCAAATATTGAATTTTCATTTTTTTGAAAAGAAAAACAAAAATTTTTCGTTTTTCATCGACATGTATGATTAATGAAAAAACATTATTTTATAAAAAAATAATCGATTATATTTAATAAAAAAAACTGAATAAAATGAAGAAGAAAATATTTAAAAATTTCGAAGTTTTACAAATTTAGAATATAAAATAATTTGAAAACAATAATTAATTAGAATTTCTATTTCCAATCATGAATGTCTAAAATATTTCAATCAAAGGAATCGAAAAAAGAAGGAAACCGGCATGGCAAGAGCCGCTGTACGAACGTACGTACGAAGAAGGCCGCACGAAACCCGGAATCAATAGCGGACAACGGTCGGTGGGGCAAGAGACGCGAGTCAGGATGAAACGCAGACGATAGTACGAAAGTAAGCACGATAGAAACGGTTATTAAGACTTTTTGAACACAAATCGAATCAAGTATTAATGATTAACTTAATTATCATTCTCTTTTAAGTATAGATCTAAAACTAACATCTTTGTGTCAAAGTAATGATGTATTAGAATTTAATAAAGCTACAAAAAAATTGAAATTTATAAAAATAAGTATTTGTAATAATAATAATTATCAAATACTTATTTTTATAAATTTCAATTAAATATTATTAAGTGCATCATTTTCACTTTTCTGATTATTAATAATTTAAAAATAAATTAAATAATTTTATTATTCTTTGCATTATTCTTCACAATTTCTTTTTCTTAATAACAATAAAAAAGTAAATAACTCGATAATATGGTTAAAAGCATAATGATTCAAAACATTATTTGAGTCAAAGTATGACTACAATGATGATCACATAAACTATTATAGCCGAACAAAGAATAACAAGACTTCAAAATTCTTAGAATTATATTAAAGCATGTCTTTATGAAAATATTACTTATAGTTAAGGAGAAATTGAAGTTCAGTCACGTGTTATCACAATTACTGTAATTATACTCGCTATTTCACTTCTTTCTTTTCAATTAAAAAAAAAATGAAATACTGATGCTTGCCCAACTAGTCGAAATTGATTAATCAATTTCCCAAAATGAATAAAAAGATAGTAAAATTAAAACTTACTATAATTAATTAACCTATATATATCGTATGTTAAGATAAAATTCCAGAAAAATTCCAAAATTTTATATATTTTAAATACTTAAATTGCTAATATTTTAATTATTAATATTTTTCATTTTATCTACGAAAGAAAAAAAATAATCGAAGAACGAAATACAACAAAGATGCAACGTTATAAAAGAAACCACAACATATTTTAATAAGTTAGAATCATAGATATTAAACCTATTGGTTAAAAAGCAATGCAAGAGATTTGATAGGAATCAGGCGTTTTTCTTTCAGGTGCATAAAAGAATCCCGCGCAAATAGAAATAAGCGAAAAATATATATAAATATATATAATACATAGGATAATAAATTAAGAATATAAAATTGAAAAGCAGGCAATAATGAGAAAAAAAGGAAGCATAAAGGGGGTCGATCGTGGTCGCAACATACCGGGGACATAACGGGGGGCGTGGACGTTTGTGTGGTAATGGGCGAGAGGTGCTGCTGCTGTTGTTGGCCCTGCAATTGCTGATGCAGGTTGTTCTGTCCGGCGTCCATAACTCCACCTGGGTACCACCACTGTACGCCAGGCGGTGGTGCGGAAGGTGTACCAGGTACACCTCCGCCTGTTCCGGGCCCCGTTCCTAATCTATAATCATAGCCTCCCCTCATGCAGGAGCCAACCGGCGTAGATGTCGAGACGGGATTCGACTGTGTGCCCGTGGCGGCTGGGTTCTGAAAGCTGGAGGCCATCTTGTAGGAGAAAAGCTGCTGGGTAGCCGCAGCGGTACTCCTAACGATATCCTGATGATGCTGTTGCTGTGCTTGCTGCTGTTGCGTTAACTGCTGCTGTTGTTGATTCATCAGATGTTGATGTAAATTTTGTTGTTGTTGCTGTTGCTGCTGTTGTTGCTGTTGTTGTTCGGCTGATACAGTGTTTAAACCCGAAGGCCACCAGGCGGTACCACCGGAGGCATCCTCGCGGCTTCCTGGGCTCGCTGTGCCCCAGCCACCGGCAACGCGGTGGTGTTCCGACATATCGTACACGCGGATGCTCTGTCTGTCACTTCGGCCTCGTTTACCAAGCGGTACCACCAACAAGGAAAAGAAGGATGCACGAAGAAATTACACGACACGCACTCACGCACCACACATACGCTCCTCTGTCTCCCTCATACAGAACATGCACACATACGCACGCGAACGCTGCGCGCGCGCGCACGCACTCGCTCGCTTGCTCTTACGAGAAGGTGTCCACAGACATACACATACGTACACGCACCCTCACATTCGTATGGAGTCCTGTTTGTGACCGTCGTGTATCGCGACACGCACCGCACGCGCTACCGTGCTCTCACTGTCACACCACGTTTCTCTTGTCCAGCCGGCGCACTACACGATCACTACTAGTACTCCTGGTAGCACAGGCGGCTTCATACACGCTTTTTCCACGATGTATAGAGGAGGTCCTCGTGAATACGTACGTTATACTTGGGATGCGGTCTACTCGACGCTACGCTCAACCGTTCGTTAGCTCCGTGAGTAGGTATGGCGGGTAGAGGAGGAGAGCGGGCGGGTGGGTAGGGGAGGGCGCTCTCTCTCCCCTTCTAGCTCTTTCTTTTTCCCTCTGTCTCCCCACCATCGACAGATACAGTGCGTCTATCCGTCTCTCTTTTTCTCCCTCTTTCTCTGTCTCTGCTCTCCGTTCTCTTTCTCTTTTCTTCCCTCCCCTAAATACTCATGGAACCTTTCATTCGAGAGACACAATGTTTCTTTTCGTAGACACCGATAAGTGTTAAGTATAAATATATATCTTCATTCATTTATGCCTACACTATCATTTCGTTACGTAAAAAATACGTATATTGCCCTTTTCTTCCTTGAAAACGTGACGTCTCTTCTTTACTTGCTCATACACACGGTGCTAATTACGCTCTATGCGACACCACGCTCGCGTAGAGACGCAATGCTTCTTTTACGTGTATATACACACCGACGCTGGCAATTGCACAGTGGTAGTAGAACGCGTAATAGCTTTTTCACATGGAGAAGCTTACGCGCGGATTGCTTCTCTCGCCACCGACTCTACACGCGATGCCGCACACACAGAGGGCGAACCTGGCGAGGACGGGCTGGATGGACGCTTGTATATTCTCTCTTTCTCTTTCTCCAATCTAGTCCCCTTCCACTCCGATCCGAAGTCTCACTCACTACTTGTCTGTTTGTCTCTTTCTCCACGTTTCTCTATCTTTTTTCCACGCGCACGAGCTTAGCCTTCCTTCCAGCGGACGCCGGCGAACTCATGCAGCGTTGCCAAGCCACGCTTTCACCCGCCCGCTCACAAAGGAAAACCCGAGTACACCGACCAATCGAACTACATTTCAACCATGGTGGGGATGGCGGGAGTCTACCACTACTGACATCAAGGCAACGTCGCTTTCTCTCTTCCGTTCGTAGAGAATTCGAGAGCCATGGCTCGTAGTCCCCGGTAAGGTAGAGGGGCAAACGACTGCAAACCCTTCTCTACCCTTGAAACTCGAGGTCAACTTTTAGGCAGAGAAAGAGAGCGAAAGGGAGAGGAAGACACACCAACTCTGACTTGTCGCCGTGCGCTCTTTCTTCTCGCGCCTTTTTTTACCCTTCTTAGTTTCGTTACACTGCTACGGTCACTGGAATTTGCTCCACATTGGTACTTCCTGCTTTTCGCGCACCCTTTTTCCTGCGTGTCAAGTCGGCTTTACCGACCGAAGAATTCTTCCTTCATGTCACTTCTCAGTCGATATAGAAGGACTTTTAAAAATTTGAATAAAAACAAGATGTAAAAAAATCTTTTATAATTCTTTTTAACTGAATAAAATTATTTTATGTTTGTATACATCTCATTTAGAAGCATGAAATGTTCATATTAAATGTATAAGTGTAATAACGAATCATTATGAAAGCATTATTAATTAATAAATACATTTCAACTTAAACATTTCTTCTCTTAATTTTATTTTTTCCTAAAACTTATTGAAAAAATTTAAATATCTTATTAATTTATGATATCTTATTAATAATTAGAATTTAAATAAATATATTTTTTTAATTGACTTTTTAAAATAAAATATAATAAATAATTCTAACGATAAATCATATTTTTATAAAACGTAATAATAATAAATATAATAATAAATAAATTTTTCAACATAAATTCCTCATTATTTAAATTTCCTCATTACTTTAAATGTTATTTTTAAAAGTATAGTTACAATATTTTACAATGTAAAGTACATATATTAAACTTCAAACAGCATATAAAATGTAATGTTATATATGGAATAATTTCTAATATATATTCTATAAACTTATACTTCATAGCCAACACATTCTCCATAATTTCTAACTTATCAGAAGAAAAATCAAATTTATTAATATGAAAACAAATCGTGGGAACAAATTGTGCAACAAATATTATTAAACGAATTCCATGAGAAATTTTTAACATGTAAGAAACAACATAAATTGCGCAAGCTTTTGGAATTCCAATTTTTTTTAAAATTGTGAACAAGACAAAATGAAAATGTATATCATAGGATTTCTACGTCGGGCTTCCTTTCTTCCCACTCAACCCCCAATCAAGAGGCGGGTGAGTTGGAGGTAACCCGGCAAATCGAGAGAGAGAGAGGAGAAGAGAACCGGGTCCGGGTCAATAAGACGCATGAGCGAGTGAAACAGAGATGGAACGAGAGAGAGAAATCGAAGGAGTGAGCGAGTACACAAGTATATTGGAGAAACAGAGAGAAACAGGGACCGCGCATTCCCAGGGCTAGGCAACGTAACGAACGAATGCAAGAAGGGGCATGGTGAACAAGGGAAATGGTGGAATGGTAAGAAAAAGAGAGACATTGATGATGAAAGGAAGGAGAAAGAGAGAGGGAAAAAGAAACATATGATGAAAGAGAAAAGGCACAGCAAGCAACGAGAGTCCTGGCTTCAAATTCTCAACTCGTGTTGGTACCGCGATGTTTGTTCGACCGAAGCAAGTCGATTCCATCCGAAACAAACCGATCTCTCTCGATTCCGAAAGACTGTCAGAATGAAAAAATAATCGAATGCAATTTTATTTTATAACAAAACATCGCAATTTGAAAATAGTAATATATTTTAAAATAAAAATATATTTTTTTTTATACAATAAGTATAAAAAATAAATAATTAATAAGTATTGGTTGAGAAAAACTTAAAACAAAAAATTTTTGAAATTTTAAAGAAAATATAAAAGATAAAAGATACTTATCAATTTATATCAATTTGAATATATATAAAGTTTAAAAATGATAAAAATGAATGTTCACATGTAAATAACATTCATGCATGTAAATAAATGTGTATAATTCGTTGAGCTCGCATTAGTATATCAATTTAAATTATCTTAATGTATTTAATGTAAATATTTGTAAATCCATTGATATGAATTAAAAAAAAAATAGAATATTTTTTAATGGGAAATAGATATTTCATAACAAACATTCACTGTTTTTATAGAATATGAGATATTTTTTTTAAGATTTTAAGATTAAAAATACATTTAATAACATTTAATTTAATTCAAGACTCAATATATCATTTTTAAAATATATATATATATAATGTATATATATATATTATTCAACATTATTTGTATGTGTTCTAAATATAATTATAAATCTAAATACTAATTAATAAAAAACATTATAAGTTTATTTAAGATTTTTTCATTGTATTTTGAAATTATAGAAAATAATAAATTATAATTTTTTATAAAAATATAATGTATATAATATAATATAATATTTTGTATATTTCTATTAATATAAATGTAAATATATATATATCCATATAAATTATATGGATAAATACTAGAATATGCAATATTTATATAAATATCTTAAATATCCATCATAATGTCAATGATATATTTAAATTCATTGTTAATAATTTTCATCTTAAATGAATTACATTTAATTGATATATATATATATATACACACACACACATACACACACACATATATATATATATTCAATTAAATATTCATTTCATAAAAAAAAAAATAACAAAATTGTTTGACAAAAATAAGAAATAAATCATATTTCTATTCGTCGTAATGCAAATTAAAAGATTTGGCTATTTTTGACAGTATATTATTGATTAATTTTATCAATAAGAATTTTATCATTTTAATCAAAATATTTTTATATTTAATTGTGTATCATAACTTTAAACATGCGATTCAAAATTTTATTGTAATTTAGCGTAAGAAAAAGAACATGATATATCTATGGACCAATGCCAAACGTATGTATACGTATACATATGTACATATTTCATGCCATGTGTACAAGAGTGTTATATTTACATTTATCCAATGCACCTGTATAAAGAAACAATATGAAATATTTAATATCCTTTTTCATTTACTTTTCCAATGCAAACATATACATATATATATATATAATATAAAATATATATATAAAATACATATATAAATATATATATTTTAATATAAATAAAAAACGAATTTATCTATATACATCTATACACACAACCTTTTTCTGTTTTTTCTTGACATCGAATAAATGGTAATTGCGAGCTACACATAGTATACGTATAACGTTGAACGTGCCTGTCAGAATTACGCAAGATCACTTTCAATTTTATTATTCCTATATTTGAAACTGCTCTTGCGTTTCGTTATAATTTAAGTGGAATATTTTTACATGAAGACTAAATCTTCAATATTAAATTAAAAAAGAAAAGAAAGTCTCCAACAAATAAAAAATAAAAAATATTTCATAAAATGATCGTATCAATTATGATGTTTTTTAAATATCTATTAAATGTTTTGTGTAAAGATAATTTAAAAATTATATTTGTATATATACATATTTTTTGAAATGACAACACTTTAAAAATTGGAGCTATACGAAAACATTTCACGAAACGTTATGCAACGATACTACGTATGTCTAAGATAAAATTAATTTCATAGTTTTAGATATTTATCTTTTTTAAAATATTCATACATATTATCAAACAATATGAAATATTTTAATAATATATGTAATATAATATATATGAACTTTTTTATACATTATTTAAAATGTTTACAAAACTTAGATTTTTTATTCTAAAAATTTCATTCTATATAGATAAATATGATATAAGTATTATATTTTAATTATAAAATAGAAAATTTTAATAATAAAAAAATGTTAATAAAAAAATATATTGTCATAAAAATATCAAATATAATCATATCAAATATAAATGTTAAATATGTCATAATATCAAATATATAAATGTTAAATACAAAAATAAAATAAGAAATAAAAAAAACTTAACAGATTGAAAATAATAAATTTTATAGAAAATTTATAAAAATAGAATATTATACTAATTTGATCACAATTTATATAAAAATTTATATGAAAACATTTAAAAATTAAATTATGATGAATCATTTAACTTGATTTGATATTACTTGAGTATATGAGAATCTTAAATTATATGTAAAATTTATCTGCAAAAAAATTTGAATGAATTATTATTAAAATAATATTTATAATTCATATTATGATGAACTTTATTTTGGTTTATATAAACAATTTCATCAAAATTTGTTATTTTAAAATCTATCAATATTTTTCAGAGTATATATAAAAGAGAATTTATTTTAATGGCATTCTTTAAGAAGTAAACATATTGACGCCGTAAAGGTAGGTATGTAAGATATTAGTTATAGCAATTATCATAAAAAAAATTCTCCTAACTTCACCCACATACCTGACTGCAATAATACTTGCCAAATAAAACTAGTCAAACAAGTAACAACTAAATGGGAAATTGATGTACAAAAGAGACTGTAAACAATGACTTATATTGCTTTGTATAAAATTTCTTCGAATAGATATAATTTCGATGAAAGAGTCTTTTATATTGTTAGAAATATTTACATTTTTTTCGAAACTAAAAATATTGTCATTTTTCTCAAAAAAATTCAAAAATTCATAAATATATTTATTATTAGAGTTTAATTTTTTAAAAAAATACATGGATTGTGTTTATAAAATTGCTTTTTGCTAAGAAATTAAATAATGAAATATAGTTATTGGAATTGATAATAGTTCTTCAAAAATGTTTAAAAATATAATGCAACATAAAAATATTTAGAATATTATTACTAACAAGTAATTCAATTGTCTGTTAAAAAAAATTTAATAACCTAGATTAATAATCTTCGAAACAGTTAAAATATTAAATTAATTTAAAACTACAATCTTCGAACAGATGTACACCGTCAATTAGGAAGTATCAGGAACTCTTATGTGGGTCAATGGTCCACGGGAATATGAAAGTATGTCTTATAGCAGTATAATAATTACGATGTAGCAAAGATAGTATGTTTCGAAAGAGTGAAATATTGAAGTAAAATATCTAAAATTTATTGTGTCATTAAAAAATAAGTGAAAAGAATCTTTATCGTGTACTTTTATTTTTTTATAAATTATAGAATATTGGACAAATAAAAAAAATTTTAATTGAATTATTTTAAAAATTTATATTTACAAAATTGAAAATGAAATTGCAATTTTTTTAAATAAGAAATTCATATTCAAATGAAAGGATTAACCTTTTCAGAATAAAAATGTACTTGACATCAATAAGAATGCATGTAGTATAATTTTGTAATTTGCTTAGTATTTTTATATAGAATTGATTATATTTAAAATTTTTCT